CATCAGTCTGACACTCCTGGATCTTCCGCCGGTCCGGCAGCCAGGGAGCTTGCATGGACTGGCCCGCCAAGGCATTCCAGCTGAATCCTGTTGTAGGGTTTAGGGTTTTGGGGTTTACGGTTTGGGATTTAGGGTTTAGGCTTTAGGGCTTGGGGTTTAGGATTTAGGGATTAGGGCATCTTCACAGTTCTGTACAAGGTTCAGAGCTTCCAGGCAAAGAAGGCAGAATGATGGCCCCTAGAGGGAGATATGAGGATACTTAGGGATGTAAAAGTATATATAGGAATACAAAGGTTTAAGCGTGAAGGAATAATGGAGTATGAAATGAATAAGAATGTGACACATGGGTCAAATGTAATGGATACTGGGGCTTTCTGGGGCTACATAGGCCTGATATAGATTGGTTTTCTGGTTTCCCACTTGGCATAACCCTAAACGTCTTATGAGGCTTCAATACCCAAAAATCAGAACTCATTCAGGGCTTCGCACGGCTCTGGGAATCCTATTGGTCATAGGGTGTAGGGTTAGGGTTTAGGGTTGTGCAGGCTTAGGGTTTGGGGGTGTAGGGCAGCTCAAAGTTACTAATAATATCAGCTCAGCCGAAAATACGTTCCCAGACCGCATGGATCTAGAAAGTAGATCCCCCTTAGGGGCTCCTAGAAATGGCCCAATAATAGTATAAGGTACCACAAGTGGGGTTCTACTTTCTAGATCCTCCCAGGGGTCTGGATTGTCTAGATCCTGGGCATCTCCATGGTGTTGTAAAGCCTGAAAAGATTCCAACATTCATTCGACGCCATCCCCGTATTGTTTTGTAGGACCCCTCAATCCTCTTCAGCGCATGCCAAAGAATTATTCCAGCCCATGCTCAGGAATATCCCTAAACCCTACACCCGAATCCCCTCCCCCCTAAAACCTAAAACCTTAGCGAAAAAAGATAGAATAAGCAGCCCGAAAGGCTTCCTGTAAGCCCATATTGCTGGCACATGCATCCAGTCAGCTTCCATTTTTCTGACTCCGTGTGTTGTTCAAAAACAAAATTTCTGTAAGACTTTGAATTCAAGCCCGTAAAGCCTGAACTTTAAGCCCAAGACCCTAATAAAGGGGTGCAGCCTGTGCAGCCTTAAGAAGAAACCTCCAGTTTTGGAAACACACCGTTTTAGATGGCTGGCTCTCCTATGCCAGAGGTGCAGAACGATCGCCCTGAGATTCAAAAAATCTGGGCCGCTGACCTGAAAAATAAGGATGATCTTGCAGGTCCTGCCACAAGTGGGCTCAGAATGTGGCAGCTTAGGATGGGAAGGGTGCAGGCATTGCGCGTGTGCGCGCATGTTTGTACCAGTCAAATCATCCGGGCAGAAACACCTGATCCCCACACCCTCAAACCCTAAACAGCCGAGTAGCTGGGAGCCAACGGGACAAAGAAACAGCAACTCGTCAGTTCGAAGCCAGCCACAATCTCTGCACTGACCAAATGAGGAATTACACAGGCCGTTTGTCATTTTATGTTGTATGGGGATGGGAGAAAATATTTATTCGGATTGTCATTCCTATGCAGTGTTGCTGGCTGAGGTTTTTCTAGAGGGTCTTATAATTATGAGGACTCAGAAGCTATTCATGGTTACCACAGCCCCAAGGATCGTGCCCCAAACCGGCCCGTCCCTGTAACTGTCCGCATGTTTTGTAACTTGTTGGAATCTCGTACACAGAGTCAAATTCAAAAGTGAACGAAAGTCAATCAAGAAGATGGCGCCTTCCAGACACCAAATCCCTGTGACTATTTATCCCCCTTGAAAGGTGCCTATAATTTTGGGAAACCCTCAACCCTAAGCCCTAAA